GAATAATCATATCTGACTTGATTGTTTATAGTTCATGATGCGTGATCAAAACCGAAAGTTTCTGTGATATGACTGCCCTTGCACTGTTCACCATGTAAGAACTTATTCACTATGTAAGACCTTGTTCACCATGTAAGAACTTGTTTGTTATGCTTCAGAAGATTGGAAACTGTTGAGATATAGGCTTGGGGTTGATTAATGACTGTGCATTGAGTCCCCTATACAGAATTTTATTGTTGTTAACAACCATTTGATCAATAAATATGAGAGATGCCCACTCAAAGAAAAAAAAGAAATACGATTTGACCCAGGATTTCCACTCCTAGGAATTTACCCTGAGAATGCAGGAGCCCAGTTTGAAAACGACCTATTACCCGCCCCATGTTTAGTGCAGCACTATTTACAATAGCCAAGAAATGGAAGCAACCTAAGTGTTCAACAGTAGATCAATGGATAAAGAAGATGTGGCACATATACACAACGGAGTATTTTTCACCATAAGAAGAAAGTAAATCCTACCATTTGCCAGAACATGGATGGAGCTAGAGGGTATTATGCTCAGTGAAATAAACCAGGCAGAGAAAGACAAGTACCAAATGATTTCACTCATCTGTGGGGTATAAGAATAAAGAAAAAAAACTGAAGGGGCAAAACAGCAGCAGACTCACAGAACTCAAGAATGGATTAACAGTTACCAAAGGGAAAGGGTCTGGGGAGGATGGGCAGGAAGGGAGGGCTACAGGGGGGAAGAAAAAGAAGGGGGCATTATGATCAGCAGACATAATGTAGGGGGGGACGGGGAGAGCTGTACAACACAGAGAAGACAAGTAGTGATTCTACAGCATCTTACTACTGCTGATGGACAGTGACTGTAATAAGGGTAGGAGGGTTCCCACCTGGGTGATGGGGGGAGTCTAGTAAACATAATGTTCCTCATGTAATTGTAGATTAATAATACCAAAGAAAAAAAATCACAATGTGATATCACTTCACACCTGTTAGGATGGCCAGTATCAAAAAGACTAAGCAACAAATGCTTGCAAGGACATGGAAAAAGGGGAACCCTCCTACACTGCTGGTGGGAATGTAAGCTAATTCAACCATCGTGGAAAGAAATATGGAGGTTCCTCAGAAAACTGAAACTGGAAATACCAGTTGACCTAGGAATTCCACTCCTAGGAATTTACCCAAAGACTACAATTTCTCAGTTTCAAAAACACATATGCACACCTACGGTTATTGCAGCACTACTTAAGATAGCTAAGATATGGAAGCAACCTACGTGTCTATCAGTAGATGAATGGATAAAGTAGAGGTGGTACATATACACTATGGAATACTACTCAGCCATAAGAAAGAAACAAATCCTACCATTTGCAACCACATGGAGCTTGAGGATATGCTCGGTGAAATAAGCCACCTGAGAAGGACAAGTACCAAATGATTTCCCTCATTTGTGGAAGATAACAAGGAAGCAAAACTGAATGAACAAAACAGCAACAGACTCACAAACTCCAAGAAAGGACCATCAGTTACCAAAGAGGAGGGGCAGAGGAGGAGGGGAGAAGGGGATTCAGGGGTATTATGATTGGCACACATGGTGTGGGGGAGGATCAAGGGGAAGGCAGTGTAGCACAGAGAAGGCAAACAGTTGACTCTGGCATCTTACTCCACTGATGGGCAGTGACTGCAATGGGGCATGGGCGGAACACGATAAAGGGGTGAATGTAGTAACCACATGGTTTTTTCATGTGAAACCTTCATGAGAGTATATATCAGTAATACCTTAATAAAATAAATAAATAAATGAAAGAAAAAATCTTACTTCTTGGCAAAAAGTGAATCTGTGGCAAATTACTACACTGATGGACAATGACTGCAATGGGGTATGGGGGGGGTGACTCGATAATATGGGTGAATGTAGTAACCACATTGTTTTTTCATGTGAAACCCTCATAGGGGGGTATAACAGTAATACCTTGATAAAGAATCTTACTTCTCAACTTCCTGGTCTTAAAATGAAATCTCATCTTTAAGATGGGATCCTTCGTGCCTTTTACTATGTTGTCTGTGACTGAGCTTACTTGCTGTATTAGTTATCCAGGTTATATATTACGTGATTAGGGGTCCGAGGAGGATAAGCAGCATCCGGGCAAAGTTAAAGATAAACTGGGCCTTTTAGCGGGCTAAAGTAAACTTTACAATAGCCTCATTTAATTGACACAATGAAGACATGGGCCACGCTGGGCTATTTTCTTATCTGGGGGATGTTCACACATTCCAGGCCAAGTTACTCCTGGCTTTTTAGTTTTAACTCATCTTCACTGAACAATGCTTATACTCTTACTAGTCTGATATTTTACTTTAGAGAATTAATGTGACTCTGACTGCGCTCAACTGTTTAATACAGAGTGTTGGTAGGAGTCTTTTTCCAGAGGCCCCCGCGCAACTCTGACTACACCCACGGTCCCTGTCTCAGAATCTCTGCGGCTAGTTGCAAACTACTCAGCTGCAGACTACAAACCTCAATAACTGAAAGACAGGAATTTTTAAATACAAGAAAACGCACTGTCAATCCAACACCAAAGTAAAGAAACTTCATTCCCAAACAGAAAATACGAGACGTACCTCATGAAAACTTTTAAATTCTAAAGGGGCTGCCTCCGGGCGGCCTCTCCCCCGCCGCCCCGCCGCGGGTCACAGTTGAACTTCAGCTCGCCCGGCCCTCGCCCTCGAGGCCGCCGCCGAGAAAATCCACATACAGCAACTGGGCTGGCGGACCGAAGAACGGAGGGAGCTGTTAGAAATCCCTCTCCTGACAGCGATCGCGACGCTGCTGACTACTGAAGACGGAAGCGGCGGAGCCTGCAGCTACTGCGCAGCCGCCGGAAACACGTATATTGCGGGCGCCCCCAGTGGCGGCCTGCTCGGCGTTGCCGCTCACTCATGGGCTGGGAGGGACGCCTGTCTGGGGCGGGCCTGCGAGTGATTCTGCGCACTCATTGGCAGGCAGCACCATCAGTGGAGGGCAGGCAGCCAATGGGCGCACACGCAGAACCTAGAGAAACTGAATGAGCAAAACAGCCCCAGATTCACAGAGCACAAGAATGGACTAACAGTTACCAAAGCGAAAGAGACTGGGGTGGATAGTTGGGAATGGAGGGATAAGGGGAGAGGGAAAGAAAGCGTGTATTACGATTAGCACGTATAATGTGTTAGGAGGGGTCATAGGGAGGTCTGTACAACACAGAGAAGACAAGTAGGGATTCTACAGTATCTTACTTTGCTCATGGACAGTGACTGTAATGGGGTATCTGGGGGCATCTTCGTGATGGGGGTAGTATAGTAAACATAATGTTACTAATCTAATTGTATTATAGTAATGACAGAAAGATAGAAAGATAGATAGGTAGATAGATAAACAGATAATGAATGAATGAATGAATGAATGAATGGATGAATACCTACATACATACATAAAGAGTGCAGCAGTCCAGTATAAAAAAGACACGTGCACCCCTATGTTTATCACAGCACTATTCACAATAATCAATCTACCATTATATGAGCAACATTATGGTTACTAGACTGCCCAGATCAAGTCCCCCCCACATACCCCATTACAGTCACTGTCCATCAGCGGAGTAAGATGCTATAGAATCACTACTTGAATTCTCTGTACTATACTGACTTCCCCGTGGGACCCCCCCACACATTATGTGAGCTAATCGTAATTCCCCCTTTCCACCCTTCTCCCTCCCTTCCCAACCAGACTTCCTAGTCACTTACCCTTTGGTAAATTGGTGATGGGAGGAGTCTACTAAACATAATGTTACCCATGTAATTGCAGATTAATCACAAATAAATAAACAAAGAAACAAACAAACAAATAGTACAATGCAGCATCCCAGTTTAAAACGACATGTGCACCCCCATGTTTATCACAGCACTATTTACAATAGCCAAGCTAAGTGTCCATCAGTAGATGAACAGTGGAATATTATATATTCCATTTGGTTGTCTCTTGTCACCATCCTCCTGGGCCTAGTCCATTTCAACCTTTGCAGGGGCACTGTAACTGTCCCTAAATTTATCAAGCAAAGCATCAATAATGTAATGTTATGGCACCGGGTAACCTTTGCTTAGGATTTGGGAATAAACTAGAGAATTACTTTGCTGCTCAGAGCAGAAAATAATTGCTAAAATTGAAAATTTGACTCCCCAGTTTTTTTAAAGTTACTCGAACACCCTCTGCAGGGAATTACTCACTGATGATCTTTCTCCACTGTGCCTGAGCCATTTCTCTCTGGACCAGGCACCCACCTTTTTCTCCTCCCTGTTCAGGCTCCCTCTCCTGCTCATTGCTCTTTAGTTCTCATAGAGGACTTGCTATTATTGTTGTTTCTTTTTTCACTTTTCTTATGTTTAGGTGAGTTTCTTAAATATATTTTTCTAACCAAAAGGTTAATTCACAGGTTTTTCTAAAAAAGAAAAAGTCACCTACCTTAGGACTGTAATCCTAGCTTTGCAAAACAAAAAGTATTATTTCATTTTCTCTTTGTCTTGATTTAGTCACTGGTTTTTTTAATCTAGTTCTGCTTAAAGTTTTTTTAAGACTATGTTATATAAGCTATACTATATAAATTACCGAGGGAGATACACAAACAGGTACATATAATGTTTTATCTTCACTTATTTTCCTATTGTCTGATATACCACACATCAAAGGTCTGACAAATATCTTTATCTCAGAGAAAACAAACAATTGGCTTCAGAGTATGCTATCCAGTGGAACAGCCTAAAGATTAAAAAATTAGCTTTTCAATGTTCTAGAAGCTACAATATTTATTAAGCTATATAAGTGCAGCCCTTTCCCTAGTGATTTTCTTTGGAAATATTAACAAAATTTACTTGCAACTTCTTTTTAGTTTGTACCAACACTTACCCAGTGCTGAAGCTAGCACATGGAAAGCATAGTTCTTGCCCTAGAACTTTCACTGCATAAATAGCTAAAATAAAAATGTACTGCAATTACTCTGCATTTGGTACTAATTGTTCTAATTACCTCACTTCTCTAGAAATATGCATTCCTCAGCTTTGATTCTGTTCCCTTATTGCTTAGAGACAGAAAGAGCATTCTTTTTTTTTTTTTTTTACCATAAATGTATGACTGGGGAGGGGAATGATTTCTTCAGCACTTCCCATAAAGATTACTTTTGAAGTTATCAAAGATGTGACATTTATGGAATCAAAATATGAAAGAAGGATTGTGCGTGTGGGGTAATAGCTCTACTCACTGCTTTCCATAAAGCACTTTCCGTGATGAATTGATTAAACAAGCCAGGAGCAAAGTTAAACAGATTTCCATGGGTCTCATCCACATAACATTTTTACCAGCGAGGCTTATGCAGTGCCAGGAAAACTGTAAATAAGTTACTGACCCTTCCTCACAGCAGATACAATTTTATTAGCTTATAAGTTAAAAAAAAAAAAGAATAGGGTTTCCTCACCATCATCAGCATCATCTAATGATCTCCTGCTGAATTCCACACAAAGCATGATGCTGAGTGTTTTATAAACATAATCTGGCATGCTCACACCATTCTTGAAAGGCAAATAATGGTATCTTCATTGAACAGATAAAAAACTGAAATTCAACACATTAAATCATATTTGCAACTCCTTAGTTTGCTTCCAAGACCAGTATTAATTACTCCTATATTGAGCTGTACCCATAGCATTACTTTCATCCACCAAGTAGGATGAGACTCTGTTATTTTAAAATTTCTAGACAATACTGAGATGATTAAGTTCAACTCAGATACTTAAACATGCCCATAACCGTATGCTTCATGCTATAAAAAGTCAACCACACATCACATTTTTCCACATGCTCACATTTTTTTTAATGTATGGGTTCCATTCTACTCTTCTATACTTCCCTCCCTTTCTCACTCTCTTCCACTAATGGTTATAATCTTGAAAGGTATAAAACTACATGAGCATGAGTCTGTGATCCTGGAGAGAAGGGAAACACAAAGTGAGCCTCAAGGTTGCTCCAACTTTTCACCTTGAGGCATTTTACGGCCACCGACCCAAACAGAGCCATAGTCTCCTGAAGCTGAAGAGGTGGAGAAAGTCGTCCCAAGACACTGAAGGGACTGGAATTTTCAAGGCAAAACATTGAGGAGGAGTTGCTATGCAGGGTGATCACACTGGAACTTCTTCAGCAACTTCTGATAAAGTTAAACATAAACCTACCCTATGACCTGGGAATCCATCCTAGGTATATATGCAAGAAGGATATAAACATATGCCCACAAAAGACTTCTATAAGATTATTTCTAGTAACCTTACTCATACTAGACAAAAAACTTGGAAGCAGTTTCTATAAAGAATGTATAAAATTTGTTGTATTCTATATATTCTAATAATAAATATAAGAAAGAGAAATTAAGAAAACAACCCCATTTACAATTGCATCAAAAAAAATAAAGTACCTAGGAATAAATTTAACCAAGGAGTTGAAAGACCTGTATATGAAAAAGTACAAGACATTAATGAAAGAAATTGAAGAAGACGCAAATAGAGAGATATTCCATGCTGATGGATTGGAAGGATTCCCCGCCAGGGAATTACCGGAGGGGTTGGAGCAACAACCGTTTGCGGACAGGACCCGTCCGCTGAGCATCCCGGGAAGGGGTCTGGAAACAGCGTCCGGGTCCGGCCAGGCGTCGGGGGAACAGGGGCCGCCGGCTTGCTGCACCTGCGCTCCCGGGCCTCTAGGGCGAAGAGGCTTCGCCCGCCTTCCAGTTGTGACCGGTGTTTCCATCTCTGACACTGTCCCTCGGCGCACACACGACGTCCAGCATCGCCTGCCCGTGACCGGCGATCCTCGAGCCGAGTCCACCCTGGGCAAAGCGAGGGGTTCAGACTCGGCCTGCTACCGGGCCCCGAAGCTCTGGTCGCTCCCGGAACGCCAGGCTTGAACCCCTGGTTTCCGGCCGGCCGAGGCACTCAGCTGCCTGAGCCCACGGAAGTGGGCTCGGAGGGCCGGCCCCGAACGGACCAGGGATGGCGCCGCCGGCGGGCGGCGCTGCGGCTGCCTCGGACCCGGGCTCGGCCACGGTGCTCTTGGCCGTGCACACCGCGGTGAGGCCCCTGGGCGCGGGACCGGACGCCGAGGAGCAGCTGCGGAGACTGCAGCTGAGCGCGGACCCCGAGCGGCCCGGGCGCTTCCGGCTGGAGCTGCTGGGCGCTGGGCCCGCGGCGGTCAGTCTGGAGTGGCTCTTGGAGTCAGTTTCCTACACCGTCAGAAGCCCCAGCCAACACGAGCTGCAGCCTCCACCGGGAGGGCCTGGAACCCTCAGCCTGCACTTCCCCAACCCTCAGGTGGCTCAGCAGTGGGCAGCCCTGGTCCGAGGTGCCACTGTGGAGGGACAGAATGGCATTGACAGCGTGCCTCCAGCCCTGGGCCCAGAAATGTGCCCTGTGTCCCCACCCAGCCCCCCTGAAGTGCCCACACCCAAGGTCCCCCAACCAAAGATGGATCCTTCCTGGAGTCCCGGAGACTTGGTGGAAGAAGAGCTAGCAGGGCACCTGACCCAGGCCACCGAGGGTGGAGCTGAGAAGGGGGCAGCCCAAGCAGCTGCCATCCTGGCCCAACATCATGTGGCCCTCAGTGTCCAGCTCCAGGAAGCCTGCTTCCCTCCCGGCCCCATCAGGCTACAGGTCGCAGTTGAAGATGCTGCATCCTTTGCCCATGTCTCGCTGCAGGTCCACCCTCACTGCACCATAGCGGCCCTCAAAGAGCAGGACGAAGCCCTTGGCAACCCCAGAAGATGGACGGGGAACCAGGCTGCCTGTTTCCTCTGGTGTCGGGGCTGCTTCAAGCCCCCCAGCCAGCCAGCTCCGGCCTCCCTAGCCCCCTTCAGACCGTCTGGACCTGCCCTTCCTGCACCTTTATCAATGCCTCAGCTCGACCAGGCTGTGAGATGTGTAGCACCCAGAGGCCCTGTGCTTGGGATCCCATTCCCCTAGCATCCACCGAGCAGCCACCAAAGGTCACAAGGAGAGAGGATGGCCCTTCCCTCCCAGGCCCCAGGTTCCTGGATCCCCTTCCGAACCTCTCAGGGGATCTCTGCTGACTGCTCACTGGGGACAGAGCCAAGGGTGCGGGAGGGGCCACGAGCCAGAGTCATTAAAGACACTTCCGAGCCTGCAAAAAATAAAAATAAATTTTAAAAAAATGCAATCTCCCTATCAGTGCAATCTCCCTATCAAACTCCAAAGGATTTTTTCACAAAAATAGAACAAACAACCCTAAGATTTGAATGGGACCATAAAAGACTCTGAATAGCCAAAGCAATGTTGAGAAGAAAAATCATGAACTCTGATTTTAAACTATATTACAAAGTAATTAAAACAGTATGATATTGGCATAAAAACAGATACATACATCAATAGAACAGAATAGATAGCCTAGATATAAAACTACTCACACATTAATTTACAACAAAGAAGCTAAGAATATACAATGGGAAAAGGACTGTCTCCTCAATAAGTGGTGCTGGAAAAACTGGACAGCCACATGCAAAAGAATGAAACTGGACCACCTATTTTTTTATAATACACAAAATTAACTCAAAATGGACTAAAGACTTGATAAGACCTAAAACCATAAACCTCCTAGAAGAAAACTTAGGCAGTGATTTTTTTAAACCTGACACCAACAGTAAAAGCAACAAAGGCAAAAATAAACAAGTAGGACTATAACAAATGAAAAAGAATTCTGGAAAACAAAGGACACCATCAACTAAGTGAAAGGCAACTCACTGAATGGCAAAAAATACTTCCAAATCATATACCTGATAATGGGCTAATATCCAAAATATATAAAGAACACATACAACTCAACAGCAAAAATACAAATAATCTGATTACAAAATGGATAGAAGATCTGAATAGACATTTCCCCAAAGGAGACATACATACAGTCAACAGGTACATGAGAAGATACTCTGTATCATTAATCAGAGGGAAAATGCACATCAAAACCATAATGAGATATCACCACACACCTGTGAAAATGGCTAGAATTAATAACTGTTAGTGAGGATGTGAGAAAAAGGACCCTTGTGTATACTGTTGGTAGGAAGGTAAATTGGTGCAACCACCATGGAAAACAGTATGGAGGTTCCTCAAAAAATTAAATATAGAACTACCATATACTTGCCCTTCTTGGTATTTATCTGAAGAAAATGAAAACATTAATTAAAAAAGATCTATGCACCCCCATGTTCATTACAGAATTATTTACAATAGCCAAGATATGGAAACAACCTACATGTTCATCAACGGATAAATGGATAAATAAATTGCAGTACATATACATGTTAGAATATTATTCAGTCCTAAAAAGTCTGAAATCTTGCCATTTGCAACAATATTGATGACCCTTGAGGTCGATGCTGAGTGAATAAGTCAGAGAGAAAAAGATAAATATCATATGATCTCTATTATATGTGGAATATATATATATATATATATTGAATATTAAATATATGTTCACAGATACAGAGAAGAGATTGGTGGTTGCCAAAGGCAGGGTGTGGGGGCTGGGAGAAATGGATGAACATTTTTTTTTGTTTTAGTTTAAATAAATTGAATTACAAAACAAAAGAATGGATAAACAATATTGGTATATAATCAACAATAAAAAAAGCAAACAATGGAATACATACATTCATTAAAAAAATTATACAACAGAGATAAGTTGCAAAAACATGTTGAGTAAACAAAACAGTACATACTGCATGCTTTCATTTTTATGAAATCTGCAACCAGGCAAAACCTTTTATTTCAGAAATCAAACATTTGTTGCCTTTTGATGATGGAGATTGACTAGAAAGAGGCAGGAGGGAACTTTTGGGAAGGAAACATTCTACATCGTGAACATCTGGGATGTGTTTCCTGATTTGGAATGTTGGTTATAGGTGTATGTATTTGTCAAAATTTACCATATTCTATATGTAATATCTGCACATTTCACCGTATATGTTTTTACCTCACAAAATATGAGGGGAAAATTTGTAGGATAAAACTCTGTAGCTGATTCTCAGCACTAAAGGAAGAAGGCAACAAAAATCAGAAAACGGGACAATAAAAAATGCTAATACATTTTTCTCTCGTGGGGAATCTAACATAGTCAAAGACAGCCCTGAAAATGTTGGTGTTAAACTCCATAGAAAGGTAACACATTTAATTTAATCCCCAATCTTATGGATGCTTCCAATTATTGAGTCTATTCGTTTTGCTGTTGCTTTAAATGAAAAAAAGACATTATGTTTTCCACTGCTTAATTATTTTTTAAACTTCTTCAAATACAAATCTTGGCAAGAGTGCACTATTTTTCAAATACCTAGATGGAAGAAATGACTATTCCACAAAGCAAAAGGCCATGAGGGAAAAGAAAATGGAGAAATTTTAATAGAAGTAATGACGTGATCTTAATTATATTGATGAGATTAAACTACGATGTGGAATGTTTTCTATAAACCTAACTCATTTAATTACCACTTCAATTAGCCAAAAATGCCTGCTTTCACATTTAGCATCAATTTACAATCGAAGAAACCTGGTATTTTATATCCAGAAAGGCATAAAGGAAGTGGATTAATATTTTCCCAGGAGAGAACATCATTTGTAACCAAAATTTCCAAATAGAAATAAACATCAACGACTATTCATCAAATAGTTATTGAAGATCGATCATATTCTGAGGACTGTGCAATTCCTAGAAATACAAAGTGACAGTAATAAAATCACAACCTAGGACACAGCCTAACACAGAGATACTGTATTCATTATAAATAAAGTGAACACTTCCATAGGTGTGTGTGCAAACTATTATGGAATAGTTTTGAATTTTTTCTTCATAAATTCTAAAAAAGCATTCAAAAAGAAACAAATTCTTAATAAGGTCCTGCAATATTCATGCATAAAAATTTCTATTCCAGCATCTCCTAAGAAACTGAAAACAACCTAAGTGTCCAAACAAAGGGACTAGTTATCTGAGTCTTGATACATCTATACCATGGAATAATATGCAACAATTAAATAAATGTGTAAGAGGTTACAAACATCCCTGACTTTGGCAAGATATTTTATCTTTTCCTATATCTCAGTTTTTCCATCCAAAAACAGCACAAAAATATCTTTTCCATCTAATTTTCAGGATTATGAGATGAAAAAAAAACCAAAGTGTAAATATAAGCACAAAGATGAAAATATTAAAAATTTAAAGACCTACTATTTGAATGAAATGGGAAATTAGTAAGTGAAAGCACTTCCTCTATACCACAAAATTCTACATTCCTAGACTTAAGAATAAACCTACTACTTTTATGATTGAAAAACTGGTAAAGGCAATGTACTACCTATTCCTGTGGATTTTTTCTATGCTGACTTTCTTTCAAACTGAAGAAATTTCCATAAGCATTTTCAGTTCCCCACCATACAGATACCTAAAGTAGGGAGATATGTTATCCATTGCACCGGTTTGCACATAATGACCTTACATTTTTCTCATGAGAACACTTCAGACACCATTTTCATTATCACACCTACTTCATAATTCTTGTTTTCACTCACATTATGGAAAAAGCAGAATATACAAGCCTATTTCAATCTTACTTCAGTTTATAGAACAATGAACACAAAAAAGCATAAATACATAGCATACAGTACTGACATAGTTTCTCTCTCCACAGTCCTGGTTACCTCTTAATAAACTAGCAGAAGTGGGATTTATTGAGACTTCAGACAGCAGAAAGCAAGAATATCCTTAGGTTGTAATGGAGTCTCCATTGCATTCAGACAACCATTTAATTAGACAGTTCTTTCAACTTTATCCCATTATTCCTACCGCTGTTCTAAGTTGCTACACAGAATAGGAGGCTGCCTTTTCCAAATGAATTGGAAACCACCACCACAGTATATGTCAGAGTCTTTACCATACCACAGACATTTGAGACCTGCCGAAGTTTCCACAGTTATTTCAGAACAAAGTCCATGTGCCTCTTCATGCTGTGACCACAAATTCAGAGACCAAAGCCACCCCTGGGGCCACGGCAGGACCCTGGGGTCAGAGAGACTTTGATTCCAGTCCCTGATACCCCACACAGGGAGGATAATTACCCTCTCCTAGGCCAGGTAGCGTAGGCAGTCTTTGCCTCATAGGACTGATACGAAGGTTCAATCAAATGCTCTACTCTTGGCGTTTTTCATAGTAGCCAGGAACAAAGTCAGTTTTCAAGAAATATCAGCTCATTATTATTAACACTGCTTGGATAAAACAACCCACATGGGGTTTTTCCCCCTATCATTATTTTCTTCCTTTATTGTCTCTCTCCATGCAAGGGAATTGCAAATCATTTCTTCTTACCAGCCTGCAACATGCATCCCTTGTGGTCAAGCTCTGGGCCTGCTTCTCCAAGGTGGGTACAGGGATGGTGGACCGGAAAGTACAACTGTCTGGCCGGTCTCTCAGTATAAGGGTAAGCCTCAGGGAAATGCGTGTGGTGTTGAATAAAGCTTTAAGAGACATGTAAGAAGTGTTCCCTGTAAATTTCCCCCTGGGCTAGTAAAGGAAAGGGCAGAAGAGAGAATTTTGTGGGACTCTGGGGCAGCAAGGACTGGCTCTGCTGTCTGTCTGCCCCTGGAAAGCTAGCAAGACCCAAATGAGAAACAGCTGCCCACAGCATTGAGGGAGACCAGTGCCCCAGAGCCCAACAGCATTTTTAGCTCATTGTGTGTGATCAATAGCTATTGACAGAAATATAACTGAAGTGAGTTATTTTCAGTTGGGGATGGATAAACCAAACTCATAACTGGACCATGGTCCTTCGTCAGTCCATTTCCTAGGGATCTTTTCTCTTAATTCTTGAGTTAGACATTTTATTCCTAATATCCAAATCTTTCTACCCAGCTTACAGCCTCCATAGATATTAGAGCAGTGAGGTAAAAACTGCCATCCTAGAACAGGTGTTGCCATATTCTTAAATCGCACTTACTTGGGACAAGATGAGTTACCAAAACAAGATTACTATTTTAATGATGCTCATCATAGTCATGACTGGCTCAGGGCTTTCAAATCTCCTCCCTCAACTGCAGCAAATTTAGAAAGCCTGCATTTTTTTAAAGCATTCTAAAAGATTCAACAGGTTTCTCCATGTAATG